AAAGGCCTTTGTGTGTGAAACCACTTACGAAGTTTCGCTAATCCATACCTCTTAAGCTGTTTGTTTTTGTTTTCTTCTCTCAAAGTTCGAAGTTGTAGAAGCTGCCGTCATCAATGTCCTGGGAGACCATGAAGGCCACGCTGTATCTATGCGATGGCTCTACATTTCCTGGCCATCTCTTCGGCGCAGCCAAAAGTGTTGTTGGTGAAATTGGTAAGAATTCAATTCACTTTCATTCGGAAGATAGATTCAAATGGTGTGCTATTTGTTCTTGCTTTCATTCAATGTTTGTTGTTTAACACAAAAATGAGCCTTGCAGTTTTCCAAACGGGTATGGTCGGTTATGTGGAATCGCTCACAGATCCTAGTTATGCCGAACAACTTCTCACACTAACTTATCCCATGATTGGAAACTATGGAGTTCCAAATCCTTCAGAAATTGATTCACTAGGATTGCCAAAGCATTTCGAGAGCAGCCGTGTTTGGCCAGCGGCGTTGATTGTAGACAAGTACGAGTTTGTGTAATTTACTAATTTATTTCTGCTTCTTTTATTTCTTCTTTGCTTTTGTTTTTCTGTTCTTTACTGCTGCTAAATTTCTTCACCGTAGCAAGCTGCCCTTGCAGGAAATTTCACAGTATTTCCGCGGAGCGTTCCTTCTCAACAATTCCGATATTAACTTACATTCAGCCATAGCGCAAAACTGTCAATTTTGAGGTTGCATGATTAATTCTTGATCTTCACAAGAATACGGGTTAATGAACAAAACTTGCCCAAGGCGGGACCCGAACCCAAACCTCTTGCTTACCGGGAAAATGCGCTACAAGTTACGCTGCCGGGGCACCGTTTCACTCTTACTCAGCTGAACTTATCAGCTTACACGTATACATGGTGAGCCGGTTAGTCGACATCGGCAATGAACCGCGAATTTGAATGCTTTAGAATTAATTTTGCCTTGTTTTTGATCAGGGCCAAAAACGGGTCTTGATCTTTTGGCTGTGTGTTACTAAAGTGTAAGTTTTCAAACTTCAGAATATGTCCTGAAAATGAGCACAGCCATTGGAAAGCCGTGGAGTCGCTGAGCTCATTCTTGCAGAGGGCTGGCGTTCCAGGATTGGCAGGTATCGACGTAAGAAAACTTACAAAGAAAATAAGGGAAGTAGGAACAATGAAAGCTAAGGTAAGCTTTTGGAGGTCATGAAGACTATTTCGGAAAGGTCAGGTGATGATGATTTGCAGATAATTATTGAAAGCGACGAACCGTCGGCCGTATCGTTTTCGGGATATATGAAAGGCAACTTGGTGGCAGCCGTGTCGACGAAAGGTGGAGCAGCCTTTGATTACCATTCTTAGAATATGTATGAAACTTTCTCAGTAATCGTTCTCATTTTATCTCTTTTCAGTCACCACAGACGTTTGGTTCTGGTGCAATTACCGTTCTAGCGGTGGATTGCGGTATGAAAAACAATCAAATTCGATGTATGGTGGAAAGAGGAGTGCGCGTGAAAGTTGGTACTCGTGGGATCACCCATTTGAAAATGAAGGTGAGGGGAAAGTTGGGAGACGGGTGTGGACAAGGTAGACTTACCATTCTTATGGAAACTACTTCGATATGTACTGAGCGCATGGTCGCCTACCACGAAGTTGACGAATACACCATTTATCCGTGTGCTACGCGGGTTACTGTAGCGGCATTTTTTATCAATCAAAAATGATGGAATAGATCTACGTGGAGTATCTGTTGTTTCCTGGGTGTGCTCAAGACTGGTGCTCAATCCGTAGTGAATCTTTTGTTACTATTACTATTACTACTAAATGTTATAGGATTTTTGACTATATGTTTGTAACATCCAAAAACGACTTGTAGTTACAGGATCGTGATGTTTTTTTTTTTTACATTACGTATTCTATGACTTTTTGTCCTCATTACAGCATTTGACGGACTGTTCCTTTCAAACGGTCCTGGTGATCCAGAAAGGTGTACTGAGCTGGTAAATCGCTTGAGCGAATTCCTGAAGAAGAAGACGAAGCCGGTGTTTGGTATCTGCTTAGGTCATCAGCTGTTAGCGCGTGCTGTTGGAGCTAAGACGTACAAGCTCAAGTTGGTTTTTTTTTACGTACTTCCATATGTTTGCTGTTTCAGTCCTCACAATAGATGATAATATTTCCCTTTTCGTGACTTTAATATACTTCCCCAAAATTAATTTCATGTTTCGTGTCTTCCTTGTCTATACGAATAATTACGCTGAATCTCTAGATACGGTAATCGAGGTCACAATCAACCGTGCACCCATCAAGGCACTGGACATTGCTTCATCACACTCAAGAAACAGGATTTGCTGTAGACACAACGTCATTGCCAGCCGGTTGGCGTCCGTTATTCACAAATGAGAATGACGGTACAAATGAAGGCATTGTACACATGTCAAAACCTTCTTCCCCCAGGTAGTAGCATAAATTGAGTATTTGTGCTTAACTAGGGCTCTCCATAAGCAGCTTTATTTGCTTTACAGTGTACAGTTCCATCCGGAACACACCGGTGGTCCAGCTGATTGTGAGTTCCTCTTCGATGTCTTCATAGAAGCAATTGTTTCGATGAAAAAGGGTGTGCATTTCTGGTGAGTGTACCGGTAGATTAAACGAAATATATTTGTGTAATGTATAAGAAAATGACGTCACAACCCTTCAGTCTGCTAGCTTAGGCGCTTTGTAGATAATCACTCCTAAGCGACTTCAGTTCTGGTTTTATTTCCCGAATGATGTATTTCGACACTTTTAGCTCGAGGATTGCTAAGCTCTTTGCATGCATTGCACTCTAGGTAAGATGGAGGGTGCGGTCCGGAGGCCCACGTTGCCGGCGCGGCGAAGACAGCGACGGGCTTTATTATGGGTGGTACAGTATCCCGTCAGAATTTCACCCCGTTCAAGATTGAATGCAGGGTAGAAATGCGCTAGTTAAAGGGGTTCTTGATTAGTAGCGGTAAGTGGCGTACATCACCATTAACAAATTATTTTGACGCATCAATGCTACTGTAGAAAGGGCAATCTAGAGCAAGCCTGTGCGCCGTTTCAAACGAGCTGCTAATGTCCAAAGCGGCACGTCCGTTGCGGAATTTGGAACATACATAGACCTTACACTGAGTTTTGCCTATGCACGAGAAGTGCGTGGTAGTCTGGAATGGAGAGGGAGCGGCCGGGCCACTGTAAGGATTAGGATCTGCATAGATTGTTCCTCTCACACCAATAATGTCAATTATTCCTTTGATGAAGTTAATTACTCTGTAAAATTAAAATCAGAGATGTGAACTACCTCCATTTTTCTGTAATGTTGGGCGGTTTTCTATCTTTCGATAATTTTAATATTAACATTTTGTAACAGAGGATATTCAACAGCAGTATATTTGATTCCAGCGTGGACGAGTTGCTCACATCGTCTATCCGTTACGATTCCTCCTACCGAATACGCAAGCAGCGAAAGGTTCTCGTGCTCGGTTCTGGAGGCCTAACAATTGGCAAGCTGGAGAATTTGACTACTCGGGAGCTCAGGTGAATTCGCGTCCAGTCATTGTAATAATTGAAATTTCTCAAGTTCATTTTGCAGGCGCTAAAAGCGTTGAAGGAGGAAGGAATTCGCACTGTCCTCATCAATCCAAATGTGGCAACTGTGCAAACGTCCAAGGGTTTTGCAGACTTACATATTCTTATACGATTCCAAAAGCACTATGTCAGCAGATGTAAGTTTCATTCCTCAGATCAGGCTCTGGCATCCTGCAAACCTCTTTTATCCACTTTAAGGTGATCAAAAAGGAACGCCCAACCGGCATTTTGTGTACATTTGGCGGCCAGACTGCATTGAATTGTGCCATCGACCTTTACAAAGATGATGTTTTCAAAAGCTACGATGTTGAGGTGAATTTTTCTAAAGGATTTTGCATGTTGTTTGTTGTTTTTTGAATGCTGTCTTCATACTCCAGCTCGTTCTATTAGCGAGCATTCTCTAAGAATTATGTTAGTTCGGGGCGCATGAACATGCTTTTTTGGCATCTGTTCTCTTATAGGATGGTCCAGATTTTGAGTGAGGTGTACTTCGATTAGACTGTTTTTTATTATGCTTGTTTAAGCGTTATAAGGTCTTGGCACATCCAATCTATTGTTTACGATTCATGAACACGGAAGATCGTGAGAGATTCAACATGGAAGTGAGAAGCATTGGTGAGCAGGTGGCACCGAGTCATGCCGCAACCACTTTAGATGGCGCTGTAGAGGCCGCTGAAAAGGTATGTTGAAGCTATTACCAGTTGTCTCGCCGATGCCAACTGAAGTGTTACAGATTGGATATCCAGTGCTGGTTCGAGCTGCTTACGCTTTGGGCGGGCTCGGTTCAGGTTTTGCAACAAATCGCGCTGAGCTTGTGGCGATCGCTCAACAGGCACTTGCACATTCAGATCAAGTGCTAATCGATAAGAGTCTCAAGGGATGGAAGGAGGTTCGTTTCTTGAA